CTGGTCTGCTACTACTACTACTACTACTACTACTACTACTACTACTACTACTACTACTACTACTACTACTACTACTACTACTACTACTACATCATAGCATATTTTGTACTGCGCATATCCACGCTCAACGCTATGCGCTTTACACACTATATTCTTACCTCAACAGACCTTAGAACGCTCAAATTACTCAGAAACAGTATCAGCTTCCCGGGAAGCATACAGTGCAAGCAGCTGATTAAGCACTCAACCCTAACATACTGACAAGATATTATAAGAAACGGATTTCCAGTGTCCCGATGATTTCACTATGAGCGTGCTTCACTATAGTAGTGCGGTCAATTCGTGGTGCAACTTATCTTAAATATCTCTTTTTAACTACGGGGAATCAATTTCATCCATACTTTGCATAGCAGTATGTATCAATTTGTCTTAACTTAGTCATATTTTTCTAGAACTATTGGAGCTAGATAAAAAAACTGTTCTTCATAAATTTATATAAAATACTTGAAATCTCTGTCACGTGTAAAATGGTATTGTTCACAGCACTTCCCGCTTCTCACACACATTTTGATTGCATATGGCCCACATCACAGCTCATCAAAGACAATTCTTACTTGCAAAACTTGTGACAAGAAATTATTGTTACAGTGAACACATTTTTGCACTAATGGCTCTCAAAAAATGGGTACAATAAGCATAAGGTCCCGATCAGAAAAACCTGTGGCACTTGCTATTAAAAGCAATATTGGCCCAGCTGTGAACATTAAAAAATCTGTAGAAACCACCCACTTGGAGTTTTTAAAGTATTTATTAAGGAATTTTCTAGAATACAGCTTGCATGTGTTTACAAAAATGTTGATCTGTTAAGACACATTGATACGAGTCACTGTGCTAAAATTGGAGAACCTATGTTCGAAAGTTGAGAAGATTTATGAAAATAAGTCGCACCACGAATTTTTGACTGCATTATAGAGTGGGTATGTTGAACTATTCCATGGTGGCATTTGCCAAAATGTTAACTAAAAACTGGCGTCCTATCCTGTCTTTTCAACCTCAGAACAAAACTGGCCAGCTGCAATCTTCTTACTACAAAAAGGCCCTGCAGACCCACACCGCATCAGTGGAGGCGATGTCTTGGGCAATCTGGGCGGCTCTCCTCCAGTCCACGTCACCAAGTACGGGCTACGATTACCCCCCAGTGCACATCTGAACCGGAGTCGTGGTGCTGGTTTCAACGTGCTCGTCATGCCAGAAAAGTGGCCCCAGACCAAGAAGGTTAACAGTGTTGTAAGGTCCTTGCCCCAGACCGGAAGGGCAGTCTGCCGTCCACCTACCTTAACCCAAAGGTAGCAAGTTACGTGAAGCCGGTCTATGAGCCTCTTACAAGCCCTGACCTGCTCAGTCGTTGCCTTCTTGGTAAAACTCAGAATGCCAACGAATTGCTGCACAGCTTCATCGGGGGCTCTCGTTGCCTTGAGGTTATGGCGAACACCATGTTATGTTCGCCTCTCATTCAATTGGTCCCGGATTCGTATTCGGATAGCGAAAGACATTTTTCTTCTCTAAATTGCCTCCTTTCACTTCCTTTCCTGCTCTCAAGCAATGTTCAGGCGTCTACTTTCGTGTCCACTTTTTAACCCCACCCCTCAACTCCTTTGTACCCTCCTTTGGGCTCCTGACTCCTTCTGCAGCCTTTCTACTGCTTCTCCTTAGCTCCTTTCTGCTGTCTTTCAGCCACACCCCTGATCTTATAGTAGGTAAGATCTACACCTAGTCTTCTCTGACAAGGTCGAAAAATCCCATGGTCCTGTGTGCAAGTTGCGCAGGTTAAAGATCCCTTGGTGGTCCAAAACAAAAGTAGGATTCGGCCGCCATCGGGGCAAAATTCAAAAATTTCCACCAACTAAAAAATGTTTGGTTTGCCCAGCGCTCATATGACCTTAAGCAGTTGCGAGCGCCGTAAAACACTTACCAAAACAAACAGCGTCATCTGTCATAAGCACATATTTGCTGGACTAAAGCGCGTGAGGACAGCAACACTCTCACGGCATTTGGGGAGTACAACAAGGGCCCCTCTGCAAGCCATACATTCCTCAGTACGATTTGGTGCAGTTTTGGGTTCTGAACTACAATGTTGGGGCTTCAGACAGACAGGTTGAGGGTGAAAAAGGCGGAGAAGGCAAAACTGGGGGTGGAGAAGAGATGGCGAGAGGTGAGAAAGGCTGCAGCACAGAGGGCTCAGGCAGAACAGAGGCTTAGGTACTAGAAGGAGGGCCCTCATACCTGTCATGAGGGTTTTTAAAGAACTTAGAGAGGTGTAGGTAAAATAGATTTGGAATTGTCAACTTTTTGTCCCTTTTTATCTATATGTCCTATAAAATAACTAGATCTATATCTTATAGAAATGGATCAATATCCTGTTTGGATCCATTTATTCTAATAGAAAAATGGACTCCGATTTTAAAATAATGTCAGGTACATTCTTGTAGCTTCAGTAGCTTTTGAAATATGACAAATTCAAATAGTTTTTTTTCTGTTTTTCTCAAAATCTACTTTTTCACACCCGTGAAGTTCTTGGTACAAGGAGTTTTAAGAAACTACAGAAGCTAGAAGCTTCAAATTGGACATACAAGTGCTTTTAAGATATATTCTGGGAATTTATCAGAGAAAAATTGGAAATATCGGTTACTTCTGGAATACATTTTCTAATGTATGCCCACATTTTTCGATAACTGACTGTCGAGGGTCCATTGACCTTGGGCTCATTTTTAATTTTTAAAGATAAGTCAAAATCCTTCCATAGATCCACAGTTTATATAGGTTTACACTTTTGTGCCATATTTCTGGCTGTAGTTTCAATATTTTCTGTGAAAATTCATCCGCACTGAGAAATTGGTTTGAAAATCCACGGAGACCTAATTTTTCAGAAAAGTCAACGAGTTCACCTTTCATACATTCATTTTTACCTATGAACTTCTTGCACGATTAATTGCATACGAGAGTGTACGTTTCCCCTTAATAAGTCACAAGTCAGGTTAGGTCACACTGCTCGTTTTCTGCGACTTTGGAATTTCTAGTGAATCCCTTTCTTGACTCAAAAAAGGAGGACGCGAAGACTGCTTTGACCCTACATAGATCTAGTGCATAGCACCAGGGATTGTCTCTTCGGTGCTCGGCCAGTCGAAGGGTGAGGCCACATTACTAGCGAGAGAGCAGGGCAGAGCGGGAACGAGAAGAAATATTATAATAGATGTTTCTGTATAATTGGCCTTACTATGAGAGGTTCCCGCGTGAATCTTGCTAACTTTGAGCGAGACTAGAATCTATACTTCGCATTGTTTCTTCTCGCTTCCCGCTAGGTCTGGCTCATTTTGAGACAGCGACACCACCCAACCCACAAAATTTCAGTGTTTGCTAGCAGATTTCAACACCCC